GAGAGAGAGAGAGAGAGAGAGAGAGAGAGAGAGAAAGAGTTAGTCTGGAAAAAAGCAACCCAGGCCAGGCAAGACTCAGCAGTGCTCAGAATTGGGGGATGAAATGGTAGCTTATCTTCTGGGCCTGGAAAGGCTCAGCAGGGCTGCAAAAAAGGGCTGAGTGAGGCAACGGGAACCCAGCATGGTTAGAGAACACTCCACCAGGCTGTGTGGACAATAAATTAACTTGCATATAGTAGGGCGAAGGAACATCTGCTATCAACTGACATTTAAATCGCAATTGCCAATGGAAAGTAAGCATATGGTTAGTTGAATGAAGAGCCAGAGAGAGACAAATAAACCCCATAAAAGGTTTTAACGCTTTTCCAATTTATACGTTAGTGCTTGCCAATCTGCTTCCACATGCTATCGAGGCATTGATCTCACTCCCTGACCTTGCCTGACCCAGGAAGCCCACCTTGGGTTTAGTCTCCAACTTCTGAGACAACGGTTCTCACACAAGAGTAAGAGAAATAGCACCAGCACGTGGAACTTTTTAAAAATGCAGACTCTGGGGGCTGAGGTACCAACTCAGTGGCTCAGTATGCTTGCTTTGAGAGCATAGGATCTGAGTTCAGTCCCTAGCACTCACGTGAAAATCTCAAGATGGCAGACTGCACCTCTTATCACAGTGCAGAGGAAGTGGAGATGGGCAATACCTGGGCCTTGAATAGTCAGACAGCTCACCCTATTTGGTGAGCTCTAGGCCAGTCCTGAAAAACTGAAGTGGGTGACTCCTGAGGAAAGAGCCATCTAAGGTTGTCCTCTGTCCTATACACACACTCACACACACTTATGGGATCCTTAGGTCTGACCTAGACTCACTAAATCAGGCTTTGGAGATGTGGGCTCCATGACCTGGAATTCGAAAGCCTTTGGGAAATTGTGTTGCTCACTCTATCTATTTGGAGAGTAATAACGTAAGACATACACAAAGTGAGACTGGGCATCCGTGGGCTCTGGATGGGCTCTATCTTTCTCTCTTACTTGCCTGTGAGGTACTTCATTTTAGCACACATCTGCAGTGTGAGCTGCCAGTAACTAAAACCAGCCTCCCTCCTGTTCATCTCCTTGACAACCACCTGCCCATCTTTGATCCTGTCCTTCATCACCCCTATGCTCTCCATTCTC